AAGAAAAAACAACCCCAGACATTAATAGGCAAGCAGTCCACGACTGGCCCTGCTCTCTTACCCACAAATGACTATCTTGCGCTTGAATAGCCCAATCTAACCATATTTGTAAGTAATCAAGCTACAATTCTGCAGCTGGTTAAAAAAAAAAAAACACTTTTAAACATCGCTTTGAAATCAGTAGTTAGGTAAAGTATTTTGAAGACTTGAGAGGGAATGTACTATGTTGCTGGAAAATCTTTCCTTCGGAAAATAGAATATAAATACGACATATATATTATTGTTACTGGAACGTTATTTTAGTACAAAATGAACTGATGTTTTCAAGAAACGGTGCATAAGTTGCCTCAGTAGTGCGTGTTTTAAAATCGATGTTCACTAAAATAATAAACAAAAACCAAGCTGCAGAGCAAAGTTAATTCAAAATAACATTATCAACAACAACAGAAACCACTTACTTACGTACATCCCTCCTGATGAACCTCGCGTATTGATGGATTCCTGCTGGCACGAATGCTTGATTGCTATGAAGACGATCTGGAAGTGCATCTAAGTTCCATGTTGTCAAAGCGACACGGATTTTTTGCCCTACTTTCAAAAATACAACCACGGAAGTCAAGGAAACATCAAGTTCAAGCACGCCCTCCGACGACAATTCAAAAATGAAAACTAAATTAGTCTTTTATCTCCAGGAGATATCAATATCTCTTTTTGTAATATCAAAGAAAATGGTTGATGCATGGCATTTTGAATAAATTGTTTGGGGGCAAGATCGTCAATGGATTTGAAGAAGGTTGYATTGTCTGGCTAGCCTAGATGTTATAATTATCACACTGACTTTCAAATTAAGTATTTTTTTATATTCTTTTCTATTTTTCTTACTTTTTTCTGGCTATCCTATATATTTAGAATTAACAACCACTTTCAAATGAACGAATTTCTAATTATTTTCTATCGATTTTTTATTTATTTCTTCCTTTATTTCTGGCTAGCGCCTATATATTATAATTAAAAAATAACTTTCAAATAACCTAATTTTATCAGTTTTATTTTTTATTTATTTACTTTTTATTTTTGAAATTTAGAAAATTATTTACATTGTCAGAGTAAGGTGGTCCAAAACATGATCAATCAATGATCAACAACACTTTAATTTAATTAATGTCCTTTTCCCAAGACGAGCTTCCGATATATCCCCTACTTAGAAAGAAAGCATTAAGCGAGAGGGGGCATAAAATGTCTTAATAGCATTCTCATACAAACACCTATAACTGTTTTTGCTAAAGACACGAACATGATTTATTTATATCTGGTATGGATAAATATGAAGGTACTACGTCAATCGAACCGCTGACCATACCATGACGAACACCAGAGAGACGACCGGTCACACTCGTCTCGTACAATGGCATAAAAGACAGTCACTGAAGAAGATATAGGTTTATGACGAGAGACTGGATGAATGGTATGAATAAGTAGATTAAATAACCGACCATGTCCAACCGAAGAACTGACTGACTGTACGAGCAAACGAAAACATGAGTGAGTGAGCTAATGAACGATAGTGAAATTAAACAAACTGTCATAATTGACCTAATTGTCAAACAGACAGACAGACAGTAAGACGGACAGAAAATAAGACAGATAAAAAGGCAGATAGACATGACAGATAGAACATGACAGATAGACAGATAGACAAGCCGACAGACAGACTAAAAGACACAAAAAGGCAGATAGACAGACAGACAGACAAGCGGTCAGACAGACAGACAGAAAAACACAAATAGAATAATACTAGTCAATTAACCAATATTAGGCCAAGTCCACCAGTCAATCTTTTACTGGATACTGCACAAATACGTCTTCAATATTCAGGTACCAAATACTCAGGTATCAATGGACTTTTATTTTTCTTATTCAAATATTTCAAACTAGCCAATTAATGAACTTAGCATCACGTGATCAGCTACGTCTGGAATGACGTCATCATCATAGGACAATAAATATTAAATAGCTTACCTCGGTCGGATGACCCTTAGGTCGTTCAAATAATTAACATCATAGCTTTTAAAAGCTTCAGTCGAGACATGTTTTACGCATGCGCTATAAGATATTCCCATAAATCTTGAGTCTAGGGTTTTCCTAAATTTTGCTCATTTAATTTAAAATCAATTGAAGGCAATTCAGTTTTGAAGTGGATAAGCTCTCGAAGAAGGAGCAAGTTTGATTTGTATTACTTTCAGAGTCACGTACGTATGAAGCCACCATTAGTTTGTTTGAAATACATATATTCGAGGTTTGTCAGTGAAGGCTTTATTTGCCTATAGTAAAAGCTGGTCAACACTGATTTTAACAAAATAAGATTATAAAAGCGCTTTGAAAATAAAAATACTAAAAGCAATTTCTTTCTATCTATAAATCTAAAACATTTTGTAGGGAACAATTTATATTTCATCTGTGAGAATAAAGGTGCTTTTTAGACAATGGTTTCATCTTTTTCACCAATAACATTTGGACCTCTGCTGCATCCATTTTCAGTGCTCCCATTTGTTCCCAGTTTCAAATAGGAGCGAAATCCATTGGATTTTTTCTTTGATATTGACGTAGAAGTAGTAAAAGGGCTTTTATCAATAAGGTGAAAACTGGGGCGTTTTCTGGAGTCCGTCTTCGAGGTATCTTCCCGCATAAGTTGCAACCTCTTTACAGTACTGTTGGATTGGCAACAGCATAATAAATAAGAGAGGTATTTAATGTAGCCACGACGAAATTGTCTAGTTAAAGTTCCATAAACAAGCGGATTTAAACAACTGTTAAAAACAGAGGATATAACACTGATTCTCATCCATATTTGTAAGGATTTCTTTTGTTTTTCGGACCCAAAATCCATCACAAGCCATATAACTTGACCAGGAAGGAGACACACTGCGAACATGATAACTATAGTTGCTAAAGTCTTTATAACTTGCTGGTTCTCTCGCTTTCTCGCTTTGTAATTAATCTTGGCAGCTCCAACCTCTTTGGCGGAGCTTCGGCGTTTAAATGACATTCTCCTAGGCAAACGAGCTCGGTAAAGATCAAGTCCTATTCTTATATATGCTATAGCGATAACGAAGAGTGGTAATATATACTGCAGAAGAACCAAAGCTACGGTATAAGCTTGTTGATGCGTTCTTGTAGGCCAGTCTTCCAGACAGAAATTTTCCAAAGGCTTACTTACGATCATGAACGGTAAAACAATGATAAATGACGATATCCATAGTAGAACAACTAGTACTACTGCTGTCAGTTCCTTCATTTCGGGTCGAAAAGGATTCAGTATGACCTTACAACGATAAACCGCCATTGCTGTCAGCGTGAAGATACTCACGAAAAATGTCACCGTCATCAACGGCCGAACAAAATTACAGGTAAAAACGTTAAATGGGAGCTTCCCGAATAAATCAATTATCTGAAGAGGTAGAAATAATATTAAAGTTAGGTCAGAAACAGCCAGGCTCATGATGAAGATGTCATTGGCGGTCCTTTTGGTGCGCTTCTTGACGACAATGATGATGACTAAAATGTTGCCTATGGAACCGATTATGAATGTCACCAGGAAGAATCCTAGAGTAACGTCTCGTTCAAGAGTAGTTTCTGGTGGAATGGAATAATTTAGCTGAAGTGTTGTTGAGTTATTCATTGCAGTAGAAAAGAAAATAAAACCATTCCTCGGTTGGAAGTGTCACTTTTACGAAGTTGATGAAAAATATGCTGCAAAATCGTTAGATGAAAATGTCGTTCTTATCAACTTGTGCTTTTTGGTTTCACTAATGTCGCTCAGGGAATAAATGTTGGAGCTCTCAGGCGTTGTGGAACAGCACGCGCGTAGAATATATTGTGTATACAAAACCTTCAAGCAAATCCATTAATGCTGTAATAAGAGGTTCATCTGGATGAAGGATGTCTTTTATGTTTACTCTCTACATATACTTTCTCCCGTTTCGTTGGAGATTATGTCCTCTCACTGAAATAAAACAAAATATTGTGGAATCAATTCAGAATTTGTTTGATAAAAAGGTTGATAACAGCTAATCCCTAAATTGCAACAGCCATTTAGTATACATTGACTGGTACCTGATTCCGTTAGTCTGCGTAAGATGCCTTTATTTAGCTCGACACTTAAATCTCTTTTTAAATCTCAATTGATTGACAGCCATATTTTGAAGGCAAACGCATTTAAGAGAAAATGTGCCTGCTAAACAGGTATACCTGCAAGGAAACAAAAGTTTGTACAAAGCTACTAACTTTTTAATATAGCTCAACTAGATATTTTAGAAGTGAATTTAAATATGACAAAAAATGGCAGTGCTGAGTTTTTAAAACTGAAATCTTTCAGCTTATGTTAAAATTAAATGGCAACTAGTTAACAAATTGTTCAGGCCAAACTTGTTTAGTTCTTTATTAATTGTTTGCTTTTATTTGTTGCTTTTCTTTTCAATACTTTCTTGGATATTAATATTTTTTAGCCTGTGACGTCATAGTCGCCATGTTTGAATGTAACATGGCCGCCATACTGAAAATTCATCAAACAATTATCATATTATAAATTATCTGAAGCTTTTTTTAAAACGGTAATTTGAGAAATAAAAAAGAACCCTCTATAAAATTGTCTATCTGTCTGTCTGCCTGTCTGTCTCATTATCTGTCTGTCTTTTTGTCTGTCTTTCGTTGTCTGTCTGTACTTTCAATTGTTAATTTATCTGCTTAAAGTTCTACTGTTTTTTCAAGATATGATGCTCGTTTTTCTGTTTCTGTTGTTTCTGTCGTCAGTTTATTCTACATCATTTTACCCAGCTACAAACGGCACTCTTTCAAAATGCATTCCTAATCAGGTTGATTATGACTTTGTTAGTTTTAAACTATACTGATTATTCATTATTTTTTGTCGAATGTTGACTGTATCCGTTATACAATAGAATGAATGTCCGCCAACACCTTACCTCGAATACAAGGATCACCTTGTTTTCCTTATCTGCAGAATAAAAGTTTCTGACGAACAAGATCAAATCATTGAAGTCTGTGTGTCACTAGAGCACTCGAGCTGCCCCTTTTAAAGACCAAGACAAAGTGTCTACTTCAACATCTGCGAATATTTCCTTAGAAGTGATTTAATCGTAGCAACACTTATAAGAAAGCGAAGAACAAGACTTTTACGGTTCCTTTGAAATAGTTCTAAATGACTGGCTAGAAGATACGATTCTTAAATATCACAAAAGTAAAATGAATACATTTAGCATTGCAAAACTGCGTCCGGAGCGAACTTTGACAAAACCTTCTTCGTCTTTTGGGGTTATTGAATCACTAATAATCTTCGTTTTCTGTATATCTGTATATTGTAAAGTGTCACGTCTTTGTTTTAATAAA